CATTACTAGACATGTAAAAACCAAAAAGTATACTAGTCACAGATCTTCAGTGAAAGAATAAAGAAGAAACTTTAGTTAGAAGTAGATTGAAGGAGAAGCAAAAGAGAAACAATAACTGAGAATAGACATTTTAAAATATGTTGATAAGCCTAATGTTTCATAGTAAAAATGATGGAACAAAAATTTAACAGCTGAAATGGTAGAGCCTTTTTAATGGCTTGTTAAACCATACTAATTTCTGCTAGTTAAAAAGATGGCAAAGATTCCTAATACAGTTAGACTTAAAAATAGGTTTTGAATGAGTGCTTAAAATTCAGGTGACTACTGGTAGAGTAGAAATTTAATATGCTACTTCCAGTTCAGGACAGTAAAGCAGATGAAAATGCTTTTCAATTCACTATGAAGCAGGGGGAAGAAAAAAACAGATATAAAATTCAATTTAATAGAAAGTCTACACTACACTGCTGTGTTCTGTATATTGTTTGAATGTGTCCCCTAAGGATTTCTGTCCTGAAATTTAATCCCCATAATGAGGTATTAAGAAGGTAGAAAAAATCTGACTGTGGTGTTTAGAGGTGCTGCCTTTCAAAGGTGAGTAGGACCAGATAGAGTCATCAGAATGGAAGCTCTGTGATTGAATACTAAGAAAGAGATTCCAGAAGATATATATGCATACGTGGGCTCCTTGACACTTGTTTTGTCATACCCCATGACACCCTGGGACCGTGCCAGCACAAGGTCATCACCAGACACAGTCCCTTGACCTTGAACCTGCAGAACTGTGAGCCAAAATAAACTCCTTTTCTCTATAAAAGATATCAAACCTCAGATATTTTCATTGTATTAATAAAATTGAACTAATGTATACCAAGATTATCAAAACAGGTCCAAACAGATAATGATAAATGTAAAATTATCAAACTCAGTTCTATAAAATTGTATTTTTAAGATCTGATAAAACAAAACCACCAATTATATATAATTTACAAAAGGGATATAGAAAAGCACACAAATAATGGAGCTTATGTTGGAAAAATATACACCAGAAAAATATTAACAAAATAGATATGTTGATATTGCAATAGTAATAAATCCAAGATAAAATTCAGTTATGGAGATACATAGGTCACTACTTCTTAATAAAAGGAATAATCCTGTCAAGAAATTTTATAAATCATGAATTGGTATAAATGTAGCTGTCAAATATATAAGGAAAACTGACAGAATTATAAAAAATAATTAAAACCAAAATCCTAATGAGAATTTTGCCTCCCATTCATTAGAAATTCATGGTTCCTGAAAACTAGCATTAAGACCACAGACGATTTTGAACAAAATTAATAAGTATGATCATGATTTTATATGTTTGAGTACAGAAGTTTGCTTTCAAGAGAAAATATATTTTCATTCAAACACAAATGGAGCATTTCTAAAATTTGAATATGTTCTAGGCCATAAAAAAATGTACCAATTGGTTTAAAACTGCTTAGACTACTTTTAGAGCAAGGTCCCGAGATTTCACATATGTGGTATATTTTGTTACAGCTGATAACCCTACTTTAACACATCATTATAACCAAAAGTCTGTTGTTTATATTGAGGTCCACTCTTGGTCTTATACATTCTACGGGTTTAGACAAGTATGTAATGACATGTATCCATCAATGCAGTATTACACCATGTTTTTTTATTGCCTTAAAAATTCTCCCTGGTCCTCTTATCTATTGAGTGTGATAATATCTATAGGAATTTCCTAGCTATGTTTTATCAAGTTGAGGAAGTTCTCCTTTATTCCTAATTCACTGAGAATTTTATCATGAGTGGATATTGGATGCTGTCAAATGCTTTTTCTGCATCTACTGATACCATCATGTGATTTTTTTTCTATTTTTAATCTGCTGATAATAATGGATTCCATTACTTGATTTTCAAATGTTGAACCAACCTGGCATTCTTGTAGTGAATCACTCTTTGTCATAGTGTATTCCTCTTTTTGTACATCTTTAAATTCTATTTACTAATATTTTGTTGAAGATTTTTGTATCTGTGTTCATGAGAGGGCCAGGGATGTAGTTCATTGGTGCTGTGCCTGCCTGGCAAGCGCAAGGTCCTGCGTTCAATTCCTGGTACCAAAAAAGGGGGAAAAATGTGTTTGTGTGAGATATTGTTCCATAGGTCCTTTTTTGGTAATTTCTTCATTTGGTCTAAAAATATGAGTTATGAAATATTCTTTCTGATTCTGTCACCTGAAAGAGACTCTAGAGAACTGGTATTTGTTTCTTAAATATTTGGTAGACTTCACCAGTTAACCCAGCTGGGCCTGGTGCTTTTTGTTAGGGAAGATTTTTAATTACAAAACTTTAACAAATTTTAAAGAATTGTCATAAAGATTACAGTCTTTAGCCACAGTGCAAATTAGTAAACAATGAAACAGTGAAAATAAACAGATTGCTTAGAATTCAATCATTTGTACATCACTTATAAATACTATCTTACACATAATAAGTAGTATATAATTTGTTTTTTAAGTAATTTTCTCAAAAGATGTTCATTTCTAACAGCCATTGCATTAATTGGCAAACTTTCTTTGTTGACTGAATATAAAGGTAATTGTAAAACTAGAAGTTTTGCCTCCAAAATTATAGGTTCTGATTATAGTCTTCAAAAGCCAACTATTTATAGGGTAGAGATTAAAACAAAAACTTAGCTATCCAGTATTTAAATTATAGATGATACAAGACAGATTTAAATATGTAAAAAAATTTTGTATTTACCAGAGGTAGCATATACATCAATAGGGAAGGGGTTCCATAAATAGTATTAATTACCCATAAAAGAAATAAAATTCCATATATGATACCTGAAATTCTAGATGAAAATAGAACTAAATGTTTGTGAGATAAGCACTCACTTAGTATGTATGAGGTCTTATAGTCAGTCAATGCCCAGCACCACAAAAATAAATATTTCACAACAGTAAATTATTTTTACAATATATGAAGTAGGAATTATAATTCCTTGTAGTTGAATTATAAATAAGTAATCCTATTTTGGAGAAATATTTTGTAATATGTAGAATTTAAGGATTTGCACAAATACACACACACATACATATTCCTTTGTAACAATAATTTTCTCTCACAGTAATTCCACATAAATGCATCTTTGTTGTAGCCTAACAAGTACCAGTGGCAAATGAAAAATAATATAATCACCAATTGTCTAACCAACCACTGGAGAGTAGATAAGTAAATTCTGGTAAATTTACATAACAGAATACAGTACAGAGTAAAACGTGTGGAGCAGAGCCATAGTAATCAATATGGATAAATCCCATTAACAATGTGAATTTAAAAATAAATTTAAAAATTGCATTCTAAATATTATTTTGGATACATAATTTCAGAAACATAGTTGAGATGTAACCCATCAAGTTCAGAATAGTGGCCACCCATGTGGAGAAGAGTAGGGAAAGTAGATTGCCCAGTGTTATATTGTGAAATTCTATTTTGTTGATTGGTATTTTATGTCTTAAAGAAAAGGTTGTGGATGAAATAAGGGAAAGTGTTTTATATTTATTGAATCTCAGTGATTATATTGGTATTTCAGATCACTTCATTTCCTTCTTCATTTTAAACACTGAATTGCAGAATAGTTGACAGAAAGAGAACTGGACAAAGTCAGGAATTAGGTCTTTTATGTGTTCACCCAGCCCATTGAAATTTTAATTCTAGTGAATCCACTATAAGAATATGACTGCTGGGTAGGGAGTTAACTCAAATAATTTGCTACTAGTCTGAGTTGTTTTGCCTTGGATTTGATCTGAATATTTAGACACAGAAGAATCCTTAATTTTTACCTGACTTTCCTTTTGTTACTCTGATATGTAGTTGTAAGAAATGTCATATTATGAAAAAATGTATCCAGCTGGAAATAGAAATCCATTAATTAGTTATATAATTAAGCTGAATGGTTTAAATCAATAATAAATGATCTATAAAGGAAGGTAAATATATATGTACAGAGATTTACAGGTATGTAGAATTCATTTCATCACTGATTTGAGGTATAAATTTTTTGCCCTTAGGCTAGTATGGAAAGAGTTTTTATTGTACACACCACACCCAGTTGCCTACATAAACTCTATTGTATTAGTTGAATATCGTTATTAGCCAGGTGTGGTAATGCATGCCTGAAATCTCAGCACTCAGGGGGCTGAGGCAGGAGGATTGCTTCGAGTCTGAGGCCAGCCTGGGCTATATAGTGAATTCAAGCCCAGCCTGAACTACATAGTGAGAACCCTAAGATATATTGTATACATGTACAAATTCCCTATGATGAGTGTGATCATTATGTATGTAAAAAGTGTACCAATAAAATTAATTTTTAAAAACCAAAAAAAATTAAGAGACATGCTCTTAACACAATAGTGATTTTTGAAACTTGTTTCTGTATTTATTTGGAAAACACATTCTTATACAAATGGTCATAAAAAGGTAATGTCATCTAATTTTAAAATACAATTATTTATAACTGTATGCTGCTATTAAATAAATTAAATATGTAGGCATAGCAGCCTACCACTCTTCTACTTTCTAGTCTTGCTCTTTATGTAAGAAGTTTAGAGTTTAAATAAAATAAGGATAAGTCAGAAAATTACAGTGTTGTTCAGTGAACAAAATAAACTACAATAATTAAAATACCAAGGATTTAAATTTTATGCCTTTTCCTGTAAATTGAGAAAGGAATTGAAACAATGCATCTGGTTGTTGATGTAGTCCAGTTGAAATGAGCTGAAACTTATTATTCGAAATCAAGAAAACTGGTTATCCAAAAGGGTTAGGAACACAAATACTAGCAAAGTTCATTTTATTTAGAATCAAAGCAGTTTAAAAAATATACACACTGGTTAACTAGGTAAAAAAGGGACCAAGGAAGGGGAATGTGTCTTTAAAGTTCAATCTGGCAGTTATATGGAAAAATGTAACCTTTCTTGGCAGGTTTAGATCCAGATAAGCATCTTGGAAAAGCCCTGGATGAAATGGAGCCTTATCTCTTAGAGGTAAGAATTTATGCTCATTTCCAAAATATAAGTATCTAAGAGAAAAAATGCCATACCTGATATGATTACTTTAGAAAAATTCAAATTGTATTTTCTATATATTTGTGAAAACATTAAAGTTCTAATGGATATGAAAATGTTTAAAATTATGAAAATTCTTACCAGCTTTTTGATCTAAATACAAGAGTAAATAAGCTATTAATAAAGGGAATTGCTCTGTTAGAAAATTTGCTTTTATTCAAGTGGACATTGTATGCTATATAGAAAGTATTGTGATCCTAAGTATTTCAGAACCTATAATCAGAGGCTTTGCCATCAGAAATAGTCATAGAAACTTCCTTTAGAGATTATCTAATCTATCTTCTTTTTTACCTATTAGAAAATTCACTGGAAAGTAGTAAGAAAAGTATTCCAAGGTTTCAAATGAACCTGTTTAACACTTATATTGTCAAATCTTGAATATGCTCTGTACATTAAAGATTTAGTTTTCACTTACTTTCTTCTGTTAACTATATCACTTTTATTAGAGTTTGGGAACAAAAACTATATTTAGGGCAGTGCTATGTTCTGCAAAATTTTTATTCTTCATGATTAAAAAAAGAAAATAACTACTTTTATGAAAGAATTGAATTCCGTTGATAAGTCATCGTTTTCCTATACTATACTCTTAGTTCATTGATATTGTTTCTGGGTGTTGTAAATACAATTGCTATAATATAAACTGTTAGCAATTACACTCTGAATAACATTATGAGTATCATATTTTCTTGGAGTTATTTGTAATTGATTATTTTATGTGTTATCAATGTGGACCAAATGCCTAAAAGTTCCTGGCCTGTTAATTTCTTTCTCCATTAAGTGTTATTAAATGCCTACTCTGCCAATGAGATAGCAAAAATTAAGAGAAAAATGAAATATTATAAATTGTGATAATTATATTGTTTCTAGATAATTTTGTTATTTATTTAACTCTATGAGACATGGTTGCTTTATGTATCCTCTTGCAGCAGTTTGTTTTATGGTTAGTATTACGTCTTCAAATCTATCAGTATGTTCAAATCTATTCACTAGTCTAAATTTAGCTTCCACCAAATCAAAATAGATGTACTCTATAATGACATCAAATTTTGGAAGGAGAAAGAGAACTTCAGAAGTGAAAGGCTGTGACTTTGCCAAAATAACTTTTTATAAATTATCTCCAAAACTTGAAGTTATGAGTTCAGATTTAGGCATGTGGAAAGAGACTCTATATAGAAAATGCAAGCAAGCAGGCTAAGTGTAGATAACATTAATATGTTGTATATTTCAAAAGCCTAAAAGAAAGGATTTTGATATTTCCTATCATAAAGATAATTGTTTGAAGAGGTAGATATGTTTTTCTTCATTTGAACATTACACAGTGTATGCATGTAATGAAATATCAAATTATTCAGTTTAATTTAATTTAAAATGCTTTAGTGCTCAGGGGGACTGCAAAACCCTACATACTCAACTGTGGCTTTTATATCCATTGCTTTTTGCCATTCCCTTTGTCATCACCTTAATTGAGGTGACTACTACTTCTGGCCTGTGGTATTATTGACCCCTCCAAATTTGCCTCTCTCTTCTATTTTATTTCTCAAAGAATTCATTTTGCCTACTTCCTCAAAGTAATAGTTTTAATATATTTTACTGTAATTGTCACTTAAAACTTTAAATGAGTCCTCATTGCTGTAGGCGAAACTCCAAATTCTTTGGACTCTCCTTTCCCTCAACTCCTGTATGCAACCCATTAAAATGATATTTTCTGCTCTTTCTCCAGATTATATTCCAAATTCAAGCACTTTTCACCATCTGACCATAATCATTTCTTGTGTGGCATCCTGCATCAACCCCTAACTGGTCTACTTACTCCTATTGCCTTGCCGTAATCCATTATTCATAAGATGCCAAAGTGATATTTTTAAAGTGTAAATCAAATGATACACCTACTTAGTTTAAAATTTAAATGGTTCTCATTGCAATTCAAATAATATCTAAACTTCTAGAGATCACAACCTGTAAGACCCTGCATGATCAGCATCCTACCAGTTTTTTCAGACTCATCTTCTGCCAATGTCTGTCTTGTTCAATGAGCAATAATCACATAAACCTCTTCAAATAAGTTTACTTGTCATCCTTTTTCTCCTTAGAACTTAACTATTCTGGACATGTTTTCCTCAGACCATCAAATGATACCTTCTTATAATTTCGATGACAGCTCAAATATAACTTCCTCAGAGAAGTTCTCCCTGGGTAACCTAGCTAAAGCAGATCTCTCCAGATTAACTTATTTTATCTGTTTATATGTATACTGACTCTTCCATGCCCACAAGAACGTAAGCTCCAGTAATCTCTCTATGATTTTGCCAGATATTAGTTCTTTTTTCAGTTGCTTTTCCATCTGTCCTTCTAGCCATCCATTTATCTTTAAATTATGTGACATTGTTAAAGTGTCTGATATGTGACAGAGGCTTTGGTGAACACTACGTATACATGATGAATTAATCAAATAATGTCCTCATTCTTGAGTTTACAATCTACCATAGTTGTTTACAGACCTAAAGATGCAGTTCAACAGGGACCTTCTTAAAATGAATGTACTCTTCCAGTAACAAAAAATTTCATTTCAGAAGGATCAAATGTATGACCTTTTAACAAACACTAGGTAATTCAGCACAGTGATTTAGTGTATCATCCTCTAGCTTATCAATACTAATGAAATATTTCATGTCCTTTTTTATGTCTTGTGAAATTATTACTGATTGCTTTCATTCCTGATGCCTGAGAACAGTTAGGATTAAGGAGTCTTTCCCTACATATTCTACTCCTTATGTGTGTAGTTCCATCCTTAGCCTTCCTCCTGTGGTGATCTTAAATATCTCAGTGACTTCAGCTACCAGTTTTATTCCTATAATAATTAAAGGTGTTCCTCCATCATTGCCCTGTGCTCCAAATGTGTATTTACCTTTTTCTCTTGTGTGTCCCCAAATATTGTGATCTCAACTATCAAAAAATGAACCTTTCTTTCCCCATTTATCTGTGCCACTTTAGTATTTTCTAATAGTGAAGAGCTCTGTTGTCTACTCTTTGATCCAAGCCAGAAAGTTAATTGTAATAAATTACTTTATATACTCTTGTTCACAAATGAAGCCCTAACTCCTTTTAGCTCTACATTCTTATTATCTTATTGCCTGTTGCCCCTTATCCTGATTGTCAACATACTAGTCTCCTTTCATTTAGTACAACATTCTTCTAACTCAAATGTCTCTTCTCCTTTTCTTGCCCCTTGTCAATCCATTGCTCATTGTATCACCATTGTGATATACAGGAAATGGAAAGGTGATCATGTCACACTGTATTAATCACCCTTCCCATTGCTGGGACAAAATACTTGACACCCACAACTTAAAGAAGGAGTTCAGTATGGTGAAAAGGGTCTGGCAGATGAAAACTGCTGAAGTCATAGCTGCCAGAAAGCAGAAGCCAAGGACAAGAATATATCCTTTCATGTCACACCCCCAGTGACCTGTCTCTTCCATCCAGTCCCCACCTGCTGACGGCACATTCAGCTATGAGCTCGTCAGTGGGTTAATCTACTGATAAGCCTAGAGTTCCAATGACCCAGTCACTTTCTTAAAGCCCCATCTCTGAATATATGAGACTTTCATGGGACATTACGATCTAAACAGAAACATACACTTTACTTATAAATTTTTGAACTGTTCATCACTGTGGCAAAGTAAAATGTAAACACTTTACTTTAACACAGTGTGTCCTTGGAGGAAAATAAAGCTTATACAATAGATAATCTATTCCTATATCCTATGCTTCATCAATTTTGAACTACTGATGTTTCTGTTGATCTCTACATGCATTATCCCTCCAGTTAATGCTTATAATCTAAACTCCAAGTTCACTACTGTGATACTTTCTTGCTTAAATAAACTTCATTTGAGCCACATTTTCTTCTTTGCCTTATTATGTATGGCATTTCTCATGCTCTATTTTATTTTTCCCTTAATGTTTTTATGAAGTTAAGTTGAATAATAAACTCAAAAATAAGAATGTTCCAGTGACTCCAAGCCCCCATTGTTGTTCTTTTCTAGAGCACTACTCTTTTCCATTCTGCATCTCTTCAAAAACATGTTTGCATGTACAAATATATGTGAATATGGTTATCAATTTTTACCTCATTTGGCACATACCATACATATTATTTTCTGTCTTCTATTTAAGCACAGAGAAATTCATATCATTTGTTTCAGATCATTGTTTCATTATGTGGACATGCTATAATACCTATGTATTGACTTTATTCTTTATTGATTTCTTTAATATCTTTTGCTATTATAAGTAGTCCCTCAGTGAAACTTATTGTACATATGTTTGGGGCCATGTTATGAGTTTATCTGTGGGATTAAATCCTAGAAGTGGAAATGCTAGATCTCAGGGTTTGTATGGTTCTCAGTTTTAATAAATACAGAAGTCATTCATTTCCAGCTATGGTGGAATGACTAGTAGTATCAGGTCAACTCTCCCACAAACAACTACAAAAGTTGTATGAAATAAAAGTAATGTTTGAAGGCATTAGAGAATTCCAAGGACTGTGATAATATGGGGGACTAAAATTCCAGAAGAAACAGAACCCCTGTGCATTGCCTCTTTTATTTTAAAAGTATTTTCTCATTAAACATGATGCAGAAATATCTAGATGCTGAGGAGAAAGCTCCAGCTGAAATTAAATATCACATGGTTTCTCTAATATCAAAGACCCAAAATATAAATAATTTAAAGAGCAAAATAAAAGAGGGATGTTAAGAAACAGTGAGGTAGACTGTAGAGATGGGAAGGGAATCAGGGGAAGGAAGTAGAGGGAAAGGGGGTCAGGGGGAGTAAAAATGATCAAGATAACATATGTGTGTGTATCAATCACCAAAGCTGAATGGAATCACTATTTGTGGCATATGTGCACAAATAAA